AGAATCGAGCACCGTTTCGCGCGCCGAACGGAAGACAACGGCGAGCCGGACGACGGAGGATCGTCCGAGCGATTCTGCGTCGGAGATTGGTTAGATTTGCTCGCCGTCGAATCTGCAGGGGGAAACCGGTTCCCTCATCCCGCGAGTCACGCTTCGATCCTTGTTCTCAACGGTGACCGTTTCCTTGACGGAAATATTCGCGGTTCACGTCCGTCGAGAGCGTTACCGGTCGAAACTCTGGGATCGATTTTCCGTGAAAATTGCAACGCTGTTGTTTCTGTAATTCGATGATTGGAATTAGCTACCGAAGTAGGTATTGCTCGAGAAATCGACAGTTTCGACCGGTAGCGACGTATCGGCGAAGAATAGTCGACGAGGAATTGATTCGCGAAGCTCGTGAATCGAATGTTCTTCCGCCTGGAAAGTTCGCGCGAGTCGTAACGAACGAATTGGATCTGGAACGGACGAGCTGAACTAACGATCGACGTTACGGAGTAGATTGACTTCAGTCGGAGGAACCGGTTGACCGGTTTATCGTTCGAGAGATTCTTTGACTCGCGTTTTTGAACGGGACGTTCGAACGATCGGGAGCCACTCGATCCTGTCTCGCGCGGAAGAGATCGAAGGTCGAACGGGAACGATCGTGGAGACGAATGAACGGGAAATGCGGGCAACGATGCAGAATCTTGGCTTGTGTTACGTTTGTGTGTTGGGTGTATTTTGTAGTATCACGAGGCGCCGACGACTCTATTGGACACCTTGACCGTCGTGAACTTGATCGTCACCCTCCTTTTCCTCATTGAGTGCATCCTTAAACTCGTCGCCTTCGGATGCAAGGTATAGATAACGCCTCTTAAAACCACTCACTCCACTAAATACTTCAATCACACGCAACCATCATATATCATATAGGGTAGAGAGTATACCTGTATACAGTTATACGTGAATATCTTCTCTTCTGTCACTTCTCTGTCTCCGACCCGACCGGTGTGTTTCATGGATCGATATCCGTTGCGTTCCGAGACCTCTGTACGAGAACCTAAATTCTCTCGGGGAGAACCGTAAGATTCGTTCCGAAATTCCTCGCGATAATCGCGTCGCGAACTTACCCTCGAGAATGTATAATATTAACGCTTTATCTACCGGGTGAACGGTTTATTAACCTCTCGCTGGGAAGACGCTCGTGACGTTCCCGAAAATTGCCAACGATGTATACTATATTAAATCAGAAACTCCAGATTTCTTTGAACTCTTCCTTTTACAAGATTCTTAACCAGTTAACTGTGGAATTTAGTTTGAAGAACCTCTCGTTCTGCGTGCAATAAAATTATAAAATGGAGCCTGCACTCGTCGAATGCAGGACAAATGTACTTAGAGTTTAATGAAAGACCAAAGCAAGACAAAGAAGAGTTACATGTTTATCTGAAAAAATAAAGAATTCATCGTTGGAAGAATTCAAGCTTTAAGATGACGTGTGTAGTCGTCAAACACAGTTAACTGGTTGATCTTCGTCTATTCGTTGCCACCGCAAGAGGTTAATAAACTCCAAGTTAACACTAGAATTAGCATTTAATACGATTAATATGTAATCCCTATAAAAATTGTAATAATTGATTATCAATTCCTTCAGACATTCATTATAGTAGAATATCAATAATTTAATATAGTAGAATATAATTCAATATAGTAGTTGAATATCAATAATATTCAAGTGAAACTATTTACTTTCAAGATTTCGAATATTCAATGCTTTCAAGATATCGATAATTACGAAAACACGTTGAAACCAGTCATTTCGACTGGTACAGTTCTACTGTTAAAATTCGATCTTTCTCAAGACTTTCGATCGATCCCACAGGATGATCGAGCAACCGGTAGCTAAAGCGTTGATACACATTGGTGCAACAATTCACGATGATCTTCGGATACGCGAAGTAATTTCGTGATCGACATAAAGCCACGGTGACACATGCAAGCGTACCGAGAAGCTGCGACGGAGCCCGAGATCGTTGCCGCGATACTCTCGGCTCGGTCGCCATCGTCGTTCCGAATCGTTCGAGGGAAGCGACCTCTTTCCCGGCCCTTTGCCCCGGGAGGACGCTGAAAAGTAGAAAAGTAGAGCTTCCGCGTGAATAACCGAGCCCGTCTCCGACGTCTCTCTCTTTTCTACCCGCCCCTTCTCTCTCTCTCTCTCTCTGTCTCTCCCTCTGTCTAGTTTGCTCGCTATTACCGGCATGCTCCCGTAGATACACATCTTTAGACGAGATCATCCCCAAGTCGCTTCTACTTCCACGGCCCGATCGTCATCGATCAGCGACGCGCGCGCGACTCGGGTACCCCGTGATCGGTTTTATAATAGAAGCCACTCGAAGGGGATGGCTCGCGATGGACGCGCCAAAGAGATCGCTATTATTACTCTTGTTGTTATTATTATCGTAACGAAGCGCGAGCTTCAGGTAGTTCAGACGTATTTATAGAAACCTCTCATTCTTTCGCTATCGCGTCAGGCTCGCGAATATTTTCAATTTAATTCGAGAATTGCGTTCGGCCTGCATTCAACGAGTATACATTATTTGATTTTATTGCAATCGGAGATTTTTCAATCTAAGTTCCACACTTAACTGGTTAATCGCGAAAAGGAGGCGTCGGGTAGTTTCAGTGTTAACGAAGCAATTGTATCACAGTTTCACAGAGCAAGAGCCCAACAGATGCCTCTAGAAACTTAGAGGTGAAAATTGGAAACGCGGGTCTTCCCATACATTTGGCAAAGATAATAATAGCAATAGCGACAGATTATCAGAAGAAAGAAGAGAGCATTATTCAGTTATTCGCAGCGTTACTCGAGCGCGACGCAGCTTCTCGTGGTCTATCTATCCGTCTTAGAGCTGTTACGTTTATCGCCTCCTCGTAGTCGCTGTACCCTCCCCGCGGTCTCCGACATTGTTCCGTCGATCACGTCGAACAGAGTTAACGATCAACGGTCTCGTTGCATCGGCGAGACGGCTCGGACGCGTGCTTCTCGCCGCGGATCCACGCGATTCGCCCGTCGAACGCCTCCCCGACGAATCGTCCAAACAACGAAGCAGTATGGCCTTTTTACAGACTCCACACACCGTTTCGCAGATCTAGCACGACCCATATTCGCAATACCCACGCGTCCAACATTTACGTTCGCGTAAGGGTGCGTACGTACACACGAATACACACACGCATACATGGAGACACACACGACACAGGTATACACGAGCACGAGCTACTCGCACACGATTAAACGAACAGCCAGAGAAACACCGACAGATACTTTCTTCTCTAGACACACCTTCTTCGAACTCTCGATTCGTAGTTTCCTCTTTTAGCAGTTAGCTTAGCAGACATCTTTTACACACCTTGAGGAACTTCGGGGCTCGCTCGAACGTTCAACCGAACGAACGGTCTCGTGGCCGTTTAAAGAACAATAGAATCTTACATATAAATGAAACTTCACCTTTTGCACTCCAGAAATTTCCACTGGAAATACTCAGTATTTCCTAATGAGTTGACTTCCAAGATTGATTTGACAAATCGATACATTGAGGAAACTATTTTCTTTCGATATTGCATTATACAAAGTTGTTAAACCTCAAACTTAAAATTTAGCTGTCAAATAAATTACTGAGAGGCGCCTCCGGAGTGCAAAGGGCTGACACGAATATTTATATTTATATTTCATGAATTTACATGTTTTCTGTACTTTTGTGAACAAATTTTCGAAGGTATCGATGTTTAACGTTCGAGAGAAATTTATTCGGCCACGATCGAAGCGTTTGGTAAGTTAGAGAACCGATCGAGAAGCTTCGAGCGAGGTCCGAAGGGACGAGCCAGGCAAGGATCGGTCTCTCGAGACTGAATTTCGACTAATCGAGCTCTGTTTTCCCGGTCCCCGTCGTCAGAACTTCTTCAAAGACGCCTGGAACATTTTCGACTTCATCACGGTGATCGGCAGCATCGTGGACGCCCTCGTGATCGAGTTCGGGGTACGTAGACCATCGCCAGCAAAGTAAAACAGTGAACGGAACATCGCCCTGTGTAAATGTACTGACACTCCGAGTCGAGAAGTAGTAGTGTTCGTGTCACTTTAACACTTTAATGGCCGCTGATGCGACATTTGTATCGTGCGCCGTTGTCTATTATTATCAGCGTATTAAATTTAAACTTGATGCAAAGGTTTCTATATGAGATTACATAACTGTGAGGTTTAACATTTATTTTCGATATCGTTTTTGGTTTCATTCTTGAAAATTATGTCTTTTCTATCTAGTTTAATTACGAGTATTCTTTGTCATTTCAATTGAAATATTCGGGAGGTTCACCTGAGAATTGATTACCGATTTACAAACGATAGTTCAATTGCAGCTTTGTTTATCAAGTAACTGTTTAATCCTAGAAAAAACGCCTCTAATGAAGTGTTTTTTCGAAACCGCGCGGCCTGTAAAGTGTTAACGTTCATTCGCCGATCGAGGAAGCCTACGAGAATCACCCGAGAGACTCCCCTAATTATAATTGTATATGGCCCAGTGTTGCTTGGTTGTACATCTCGAAGTGTTGTCTTTCCTTTAACCTCTTTGCTGCTTCTATAGTTTCGGCGGAAGTGTAATTGGATTGCTCGTTGGGTGTACGGAGTGACGTGAAGTCGCGGCGCGATCCGTGGAACGGACGATGCCTCGCTGACAAATCGAAGATAGTCTTCTTCTATTCGTAATTAACAGATTACGCACCGGTAACGAGAAATCTCGTTTTCATATAGACACTTAGCTATGCATGTACTATTTTACCATCGGCAATTCGGAAGAAATGCAACAAAATTGTCCACTCTACTTCAAGTGGAAATTTGAAGATAATACAATGATAATAGCAAAATAGTTTGCTTTGATCCGTGGGTAATGAATAACATCGATTGTTGTTAAATTAGTCTAGAAATCTTCATCGCGAGTCTCACTCGTCATTGTAGGCAAGGGGTTAAAATATATTACATAACAATATATCTGAGTTTTCTGAAGATTAGCCGGTACGCAATGTGTTAAGTTTGTTCTAAGTATACAGCGAAGGATCTTCCATCTCTCGGTTGCGCCACGATTTCGGAGAACATCCTGTACGCCATGTCTATCTCTGTGTATGTATATACACACACGTATATGCTAGCAGGTAAACAAGAAATCTTATTCGAATCCCTACAGTCTCATGTATTTGCGCGTAGCTTGATGCTGCATTCATACGCTACACACCCACACTGTACATTCTCACCGATCATCTGCACAGTATATACTACATACGATCACCGCAGAGTGTTCGCAGCGTACACGCAACATTCACGAGAGAAGAGCGTTCGAAGGGGAACGCGGTGAATATGATTTCTAATCGAATCGATTCGAGAAACAGTGATAACCATGAAATCAAAGGGTCACGGTGGGGGGAGAAATTAACCCTTTGCACTAGAAAGTTTCTCACTAGAAATATTTCACATTTTTCGACAAAATTTTCTTTGCGCAATTATTAAAAAGAAAACACTCGGAGAAATTATTCAATTTAGCGACACGCAAACTAAATTGAAAAGCAATTAAAGTCTAAGTAGATGCACTTGGAGTTTCTATAGAGAAACTTCCAAAAGTCGGTTTACTTACTCGGTAGTTTCAATGTTCAGAAATGAATAGATTAGTTTCTTCAACTGCTAATGATCCTAATGAACAAAAAGCGTTCCGTTTCGAAGACCTGCTCTCGAATGTTGACTATAGTAAAGGTTGGACCGAACGATCGGCGTAACAGAGCGCACACCACCCATCAAGTATCTCTTGACTCCTCCTCCGTAGAAGTATCTATTCGAAACCCAAAGTTACAAAGAAACAGGAACGTAAACCGCACACATCCACACGTAAACACGCCACTGTAATTCCGAGCTCCAAGTAAACAAAGTAAACAGCGTCCAGTAAACGAGATAATCGTCGAGGCAGTCGAAGAGTGCTCTTCTCTTCCCCCAGTTGTCTTCTTGGAATTGCTTGCACCTCTCCCCCGTAGGTGTTGAATCGGCAGCGAGTACGTGGTCCATCGAAGTAAGCGTAAAACATCCGGTTGAAACGATATCGTTGCTCGTCCGACTCGCGTTTCTCTGTCGAGACATTTTGTTCCGCGGAGAAGATAACACTGTCCAACAGGTTCAAATTTTCTTTGTATTCTGTAACAGCCACTGGATAGTCTTCACCTAACCACTTGCTCTAATTACGAATCCGAAAGCCAAATTACTCGGTCACCCTCAGTTCTCAAGAAACATGGGTTTCTGTGAAAACGGTCGAATTTTTGGAAGAAACGAGTGTCACGTGAAAACCAACATCAATAGGCGGTTGAATTTTTCTTGAAAGCTAGAGTAGAGTTTCCCGAATACGTAAAAATTGTAGCTATACAAATTTTCAATGTTTCCTGTCATTAAATGGCTCTACATGATGATCAACGTTTGAAAAAGAGTATATACGCGTACTTCGCACGCGTTTCTGTAACGTTTTTACGAAAAGTGCGTCGGCTAGCACGAATTTGCTATATAGTATCAGACTCTGCAGACATTTCTGAAGAGGAAACCCCCGGAGAAAGTGTGAGAACGGTTTATCTTTCGATCAGGTTAAGAAAATCTGTGTTCAATAGATCTAGACCGAAAATCCTGTTGGACAGTGATATAATAAAAGATATCTCGTACGAAAGTATCCAATGTTGGTTGCTTTGGTTGCAACAAGGTTGCCCTCCTTTGTCAAATCTAGAAGCAGTCGCGACTAATGTATCGGACCGCTTCACATTTACCGTACGTGTTCACCGCTAGTTTCACCGCTCTCTATCTCTCTGTTGTTTCCGTATTTAACGTTAAGAGAATCCTCGGTGTTCGCGAGACTCCCGGAACCGAAACGATTCCAATAATCCTGCAATCTCGTGTTTTCTTCTGCCAGGAGCGGTTTTCGAGTATGCCCAGTGGCGGTCAACTAGGCGAAAAAAAGGTATAACATGTCGTCACGCTCTAGCAACCGCATACGTAAGTGACGGTCATTCATTTAAACGGACACGATCGTAACGCGGTTCCGCGCGATCGATTCCGGCGAGATCCGTCGCGGGAATCGGCCCAGGAACCGTTTCACTCACAGATCACACCTGGAGATATTCGTACATTGCATAGACATTCTCGACACGATACATATCGTTAACAGGTCGCTGCGCGAGTCCGAGATCGAAATATATAGCATCGAGATTAGAAGCAAATCGATCAAGATTCATTTCCATTTATATCGAGTCTACATTGGAACTGAAAGTTGCTTTCACTCTTGGCAATCGTCTATTCTTTTCACTTACAATTTCCTATTTACAGAGTGCAATGATTCATCATTTCCTTAAATTCGAAATTCACGCGTTTTAACACTAAACTAGTCTAACTTTCGTAAATAGCAAATAAAAATATATAATCTTCTTACTATCTAGAAGTTACCATATTAAATCAACAATTACCTGTATATCTTTAGCAAGAATATTAGCAAGAATATCGGCAAAGTGACGGTACGTTTAGTGTTGAAAATTCGATGGACAATGTTTCCTTGCAAATCTTCGGTAATCAGGGCGTAGCAAGAACAAGACGCAATTCAAAGTAGGAATAAATTAGCTTAAGAACTCGAACCGTTAAAAGTGCAGAAGGCACCGATCGCAACACTCGCGCAGCGACCAAGTCTTCACACAAACAACACGATACAGAAGCTTCCGTCTCTGGCAAAATCTAGCATATGGATGCGGTATTAACGCGCGATCCAAGAGAACTCCAGCAAACGGGTTCAACGAACGACCTCCCGGCCGTTTCGATCACGTCCGATCGATCGGATCTTGATTTCGCGCGTAGGCTGAGAATGCAATGCTATGGAATATTTCAAAGAATCGATGACGCCTGAGTCACGCAATATGTTTGTTCATTGATTCATTCATCTGTCACCTTGTTACAAGGTGCGAAGGATAAAGAGACAGATTAAAGGAGTGTAAAGTCGCAAGGTACTGAAAGGTAGATGGAGGACCCAGAATTCTTTCCAGTGGCTCCGTACGTGTACCGCGACGACGCTTCAACGCGCGTTCGGGAAAAGAAAGCCCGAAACGCGGAAATTTCGCCATGCTTTCACCTACTCGAAAGGAGAAACATCACTGATCTCTACAAAAATTGTAACAATAGATTATTTTTAGTTTCTTTGGATATTCATCACGTCACTGATCTATTAAAGCTTCCTTAGATTCGATGAGGAGCTTTCAACACTAGATTCACGGGCGTTTAACACTAGAACTACCGAGCATTTAATACGATTAATATGCAATTCCTATAAAAATTGTAATAGATTATTCTCAGTTTCTTTGGATATTCATAAACAAACAAATCGAAAGTCATTTTGACTGGTACGGTAGTTCTAGTGTTAATCTACACTGTATTGTTCCTAGAAAACTAAAAACTACCTTTAGAATTCGACTATAGCAACGGCATTCGCCTAATTGTATCGAAATCGACAGATTCTATTCGATATACCATCGAATCGTTTCGTAAATCCAGCGTCCATTACATCATAGATGAAACAGTAAACATAACCTGACGTAGCGTTAATTATAATTCAATCGATAAGTACTAGTTTCAAGAAGCTTGAATCGTTAAGTGGTCATTAAAGATACAACGAAGCAGTAGGCAAAGCGTTAACAGAGTCGATCGCGGTGACACATACGGAGCGCGAGCCTCGTCGCGATAAGGAGCCGGCATTTTTCGGGGATTAAGTGCAATTTCCTCTGTCCCCTGCAGGAGAACTTCATCAACGTCGGCTTCCTGAGGCTGTTCCGCGCCGCCAGGCTGATCAAACTACTCAGGCAGGGTTACACGATACGAATTTTACTCTGGACCTTTGTACAATCCTTCAAAGTAAGCTCCCTCTCTCTCTCTCTCTCTTTATTGTCTTCTCTGTGTTGATCGATTAAAACGCTACTTATTTTTCCGCAGGCTCTGCCTTACGTTTGTCTCCTCATAGCGATGCTGTTCTTCATTTACGCGATCATCGGTATGCAGGTACGTATTCGTCCTCTCGGAGCGTACGAAACCCTTTCCCGGGGTTTCTAAGCATTAGGGTTCTCGAGACGCGATAGGAAACTAGGAGACTGAGGGGGGAGTACCGTGACGATTGATAAGCAACGACAGGACTCGACTGGCCGCGACCTTAGGAACCAATCGTGCCCCATCGTGTTCGGTCTCGCTTCATCCTGGTGCATTGCGCGCGGACCGTTGGAACTGTTCAGCGAATTTATTGGATAATTAACCCTTTGCACTCGGGAGGTGACTCTCACCGCTCGATTTCATACAGTGAAGCTATAAAGTTTGATATTTAATATTATACTTCATATAACGCATCGATCTGAGAAACGACGTAAAACAGCCTTGTCCGTCAATTCGCGTGGATTTCTCGAGTTTTACAAAATATCGTCTCATCAGAAAATGTTGAAATATTTCTGGTGAAGAACTTCGGAGTGCAAAGGGTTAACATTAAGGTAGAATCAGCTTAGACTATTTTTTGAACGCTATGATCACACAGTAATAAGTCTTATGCGACAGATTAGACAATAATTACGATCTACGTTGACAATACTCGCCTCTATATATACTCGTCGCGAAGACGCGACGGACGAGCGTACAATGAACCAGGATTCGCGAGGGGGAGTGACGCGTACGCGCGATGCTCAATGAGAATAATCGAATAAACCGTCGAGCCGGCGAGTATAAGCTGCACGCGGGATCGAGAGTGTTTAGTGACCCATGGAATTCCCGTTGTCAGGTCTTCGGCAATATATCGAACGATCCAGGAACAGCGATCGATGATCACAACAACTTTCAGTCCTTCTTCGCCGGTCTTATGTTGCTTTTTCGGTGAGTCGAGCAGCTAAACGCCAGCGACCGCGAAAACGAATACACGAACGAACGGGGTAAAGCGACGTGCAAGTAGCTCGTCGGAGTTGGGCGAAATATAATCCGATCGCGCGTCACCGACGGTCATTCGAATGCAACGATCAAAAATCTCCTATTATCACCGATCTACGATCGAAATCAAATCTATCTCTAATCGACGAACAATGATGAAACTCGAAAAATAGTATCTCACGATACTACAGAAGTTGCATTTTAATCATTGTCCTGACACGCGATCGGATGAAATTTTGCCCGACTCTGGTACTCGACTCGAGAGCGGGTGCGCCATCGCGCCGATCGGCGGAACGATTCGGTTCCCCGTTTGTCTGGAGGTACGGGGAAGGACGAGCGGGGAACGAGAGATCGATCGTTCCGCGGCGATCGGTCGGCGATGCGATTTTCGTAGAGTTTTTGGGCTGTTGGCATGAGGTTTCATCGAGAGTGTAAGCTGCTCGACGTGTCAGTCTGTTGCGATTGAACCCTGCAGATTAGACGTCCCCGTTAGACACAGTTGTTCCATAGAGATGCTTGCCCTAGATTTGTTGATCTGAACGCGGTGCACTCGAGAGAACGGCGAGCGGGACAACGCTCGAAGGGATCGAGATTCCCGGCGTTCGTTGATCGTCGTCTTCGATCGGTAGACTGCGGAGAATTTCGGATAGACGAATTCTAATGAGAATTTCAATGGGACATTAGCTCTGCATTAAGCTCCTGCGACGGAGAAAATGATTGATAAACAAAATCAGTGTAGGTATCCAAAATAGGTAACAAAATTCTTCGCAAAAGACTTTGCTAGATCTCTGAGTTAATATTTAATATTCTTTTAGAACACTAGTTTCCTTAAAATACATAATTTTACTTATTAAACAACCTACACATCGACGTTTGTTGCATTCGCTAGATTTCTTCGAAATGTATCTATACAGAATGATAAACAAAATGAATATACATATCCGAGTAAAATAAGTAACAAACAAAATCCTTCGCAAGAGGTTAACACTAGAACCACCGTAGCAGTCAAAATGACTGGTTTCGATTTGTTCAGCAATTACTGATATCTTCGAAGCATTATTCGAAATGATTTCGAAAACAGTTTCATTTCACTATAATGAATGTCCGAAGAAACTGAAAATAATCTTACAATTTTTATGGGAATTGTTTTTGAATTGTATTGCTCGGTGGTTCTAGTGTTAAATAAACTTCTTCGGAACATCTCATCGCTGAATTACTCGCAGTCCACCGATAAACCGATAGACCACAGAATTCTCTCGAGCGGCCCGCGCGTCGATGACCATACGAACAAAGAAAGAGTACAGAACAGTTGGTAGATCGTAATTTAATGTGGTGTATGCGTATCTTCTTAGACGGTAGACCGACACAATTCACAAAAACGCGTACACAAATCGCGGCCGCTAGAAAGAAGCCGAGCTCGGGACGATCCTCGGTAAGGATCGCCGTGATCCCGCGACACGTGCCGACCGGCGTAGCGATTTCTCATTTCCGGAATGAATCGAGCGTGCGTCGAAACACACATTGGTTTTCCGTTCTGCTAATGCGGTGCGTGCCCTTTGGCCGCGCGGCCCTTTTCTCTTTTTTCTCGGTCCCTCAGGTATTCGGTAACATCGCGCTGGACCCCGAGACTTCTATAACCAAGCACAACAATTTCCAAAGCTTCATTCAAGGTCTGATGTTGCTTTTTCGGTAAGTAACACGCCGCATCCGCGGCAAGCTGCGATCGCAAAGATAATCCGTGGCTGTACATCCTCTCTCTCTCTTTCACTCTCTCTCTCTCTCTCTCT